TCAACATTCATTTAGCATGCAATTGTTGTAACACATAAAAGTTTAAAATACATGAAAAGAAACACTGCATGACTAACCGTGCACTGGACTGGACAGATCACACAGAAAAGTGAGACTACAAACGGTTTATTTTTTTAATGTGCCCAGTGGGCAGCTATAGAGCAGTTTTAGACTTCCACCAGCTCAGGCAAACGCATGAACAAGCCAGCTCTGACCGGACTCAACCTGACTCACTAAAGTTAACATTTGCCTAACTCTTTACATATGAGCTAATTAAACAACAATAATGCATTATTTACAGGTAATCAATGAAGATCTCACTAATAGTTTGCAAATTAAGTGCTTTATTACTGTATGCTTAGTATAAAGTGTTGCCAAGTTTTTGTTTCTCTAAACAGTAATGCCATGGTGCCAAAAATGTCTCGGTAGTATCATTGTACTTCTTTGTCAGTGTGCCCTTTGGAAATCAATGATCTAAATACCTAAATTAATAGGGTGTGACAAAGAATAATTTCTTTCACACAGTTTGTTTAACAAATGAAACCAGAGTGTAAAACTACTGTAGTCAACAAAAGATAAAGTTGTGAGCATACAAGCGCCTGCAGTGCATCGCTGCCGTTCTTTACATGAGAAACCGATGTGAGCACCTTGAGAAGATATTGATCAAGGATGACATGTTATCCACCATCTTGCACTCTTTCAATAAAACTGATGTATATTTATTCTCCTCTGAAACACAAGCAATGTCAGACGAATCATCGCCATTGTCAGTAGGACAAACTGAATGACACTTGGCTGTTTGAGATTTTAACAAACCCTCCTTTGCTCTAAAACCTGTCAGTGGAGAATAGCATTTTAACAGCATCACCCGGCTGATTGCTCCGTGCAGGAATAACCTGACCCGACTCTCTCAATCATCACAGATTGGGCCAGAGGTACAGTGATAGTTTTAAATAATAAAAAAGATTTCATGCACCATATCTCCTTTTTAATAAATGCAATATTTCATCTCTTCAAGGAGACAGCTCTCCGTTAAATCTGACTGGACTGTTCTTTTTCCATAAGATAAAGCTGTACAAATCCGTTAAAGGTAACAAACATGTTATTTAATAGATTCTAATGTACTAGGAGAGATAAGTACATCACATTATTTATCACATAAGCATATCTAATTATACATATTATCACAGGTCAAGAATCTTATTTATTTTATTATTTTGAATTGATAAGAAATTATGGTAGCACTTTATTTTAAGGACTAATTTTCACTATTAACTATTTTGCCTCAAACTAATTTGCTGCTTATTAATAGTTTGTAAAGTAGTTGTTAAGTTTAGGTATTGGGTCGGGTTAAGGGATCTACAATATGGTCATTCAGAATCATGCATTAATATGTGCTAATAAGCGACTAGATAATTGTGAGAATTGGTCCTTAAAATAAAGTGCTACCAAAATGGTGTGTACATGTAGAACATATCATAGCAAATCTAATTCCACAAACAATTCAAAATATTGTCTGAATGATGCATTGCATTGCAGCAATAGATTTTACAATGCTAGGATTTATAATGCATTTCAGTACGTTACTTAATATTGACAAAATGGGCCTGTTTACACCTGGTCATTTCATGCGTTTTTGCTGATCAGATATCTATCCGATTTGTTAAAACGTTTCCATTTACACTAGACCACATAATTGTGTCGTCGCAAAACGGATTTAAATCTGATCTTTAATTCCCGAGCTACATTTAAATTTAACGGAGTTCACGTCAACTAAATCAAAAGATAAGCGCTGCATTTTATTAATGATCAGCTCATTTCAAGATCAAAGACCACAATAGGCGGCATCAGCACTGGAAAGATAAGTTTGTCTTACTACTTTTAATGAAGATTAATGTGTGTTGACCGTCTGCATCTTTGTTTCATTGGCGGCATGGCTTAGAGATACTCCGCTACTCGCCCGCGGTTATGTGTGTTGCATTAGTGCAGTCTGACTAATTTCATATAGCCTATAACACGCTCTCACACGTTTATTATTTTAACATTTTGGGACGAGTAAAATTTACATATGCGGTTTCAACAACCAGATGCATTTACACTTGTCGAGTTTCGTCTGGAATGCGGCCCAGACCAGCTCCTGAAGTGGTTTGAGGGATCCGATTTATATCTGTCTCGAATGCGTTTCGGAGGGCATTTACACCTGGTCTTTTCACAATCGGATAGCTATCCCATCAGAAAAAATGCATGAAGTAACCAGGTGTAAACAGGCCCAATGTATAGTTGGTTCTGAGTGCAGAGTTGAGCCCCAAACACAAAAAGTCATTATAGACTAACAACTTTGAAATATATATATATATTTTTTGTAAATGTTGAGTAAACCAAGCAAATAAATTAAATATAAATAATAAACTTGGGGATTGTGTCAAAGGTGATGGCATATGTCTCGCTCCAAATGTTGTGGATGATTTGAAACATCCAGCTGTTCTCCGCCGTATGGCTCCAATTAAACTGGAATGTGTTTCCTGAAAACAGATCTAAAATAGAGCTTGTATCTCCATTAATCAGGTCCCCCCCCCCAACCCTGTCAAACCTCTGTGCTTTTAATTAAAATTCCCTTGGAATAGCAGTTCACGCATGCCATTGGAAATCTGAAAGCTGTAGAGTGAAACTAGGACACTCATTATATAGAATATTTGAGATACCCAAACCCCTCGGTTGTCATCTTGCAAACCTTTAATGACATCAAACGCATGCCACCGTGCAAACCTGCAGCTGACAGGGCAGTAAACATACCTCCTAATGGATGTGTGTGTGTAGAGCAAGCAGTTTTTAAGTTTTAAAGAAACATGCAGATTGCTAATTTCAACCCTAATTGCAATGTGCTCATGGATGTATTGCTTACTTTATTCTAAATATCTTTCAAGCGTACTATTTGACCCTCTGGGCCGCTTTTCATTACGCACAATTTGCAGGCCCAGGTAAAGCCACTAATTACAGTTTTTAAGCTGACCTCTGTGGCCATATGCAGGATTTAATTAGGCTGCAGAGACACCAGTCTGCCTTTGCCTTTCCTTCACTCTGACAGCTTGAACTAACTCGAGGCTGTACATAGCATCTACAGCAATCATCACCATTGACTTAATGACTGCTTCATCAAAAAGTGCTGTATAGCGCAGACCTGACTGACTGTTTCAGCTAAAAGAAGAATTTCCCGAACAAGCAGGTGCAGGAAATGAGCGATTGCAGCTTTTGGCAGAGCTGATATTTCTTTTTGTTTGTCCTCCAACAACAAGCTCCAAGTGGTCTCCCTGCTGTAATGAATTTCCATGCTGAGCCAGATTTAACTGGTGAAGGTGGTTGGCTAAAAAAGCACTGCAAGCTATACTAATAAAGAAACCTGGAAACACCAAGGCACCAGTGGCATGCGTCATTTTTTGAGCATTTTATAGTTATCAAGGTGATTTTACAAACCAGGCTCACTGGGAAAAAATCTAATTGATAGTGTTAACAAAAGCAAAAGTGAGAAAGCCATGCCACTTTAGTTGGATTCTACAACTCCTCAAGCTCTTTTATTGTGATTGTGTTTCACAGGAGTCGTTACCGCAAGTGCAACGCTGTACCAGGTGCACTACCGAGCAAGTTTACTTGCTGCAGAAAAGCCATATGCATGTAACTGATTATGTGATGCAAAAGTCAAGATGTATTAATTTACAAATTGTGCACTATGGTAAAATTGTGCAGAGGTCATAACACAGTCTTATGCAAGGAACCACACAAAAATAAGTCTTTATCAATCTGCTCCTGTAATCATAATTTTTGTGAAAAGCTATTCAAGCTGTTGGTGTTGCACTGCCTCTAGTGCTGAGTTCAGCTTCTCTATTGCTGGCCATTCCAAAGTTCATCTAGTTTGCAATTATCATATAAACTTCAAATGTTTTATTCATTAATATTATACTAAGTAAATAGTGAGTTTTTAAGGGCTCTTAAAAGTGTGATCCAAATGAGTGTTGGATGAAGTAGATACTGACCCACACACCTGCATGTTCAACTTGTTAATGACTCTTCAATTGAACTCTTGAACTTGTGAAAGCACATAAAGTTCCCATTTTTTCTTTTTTTTGTTATTAGTATGAATGTTAGCCTTAAAGCAAGCTAGTACACAGCAAAATCCCCAGAGTTAAATCAACTCTGCTCCGAGTACATATTGTCCCAATCTACAGAGTGTTAAAGTAACACTGAAGCCGGGTGAAAGTTATTGGGATAATTAAGCAATTAATTAATTGATGAGTGAGCATTAATAAAGAAACCCAGCTGTTAACAATGTTGAAGATGAACAACTACTGCTCAGGCTTTTAGACATGAAAACATATCACATAATCCTCAACAGTGGTAACTCTGCTTCAGTGTTACTTTAACACTCTGCTCAGAGTACATATTGTCCCAATCTACAGAGTTGATTTAACTCTGGGGATTTTGCTGTGTATGCACCAAAACAATGACAAAATTCCATTTAGAAGATAATTGCATTCAAAATGCAATGCCAGAATGATGGCATCAATTTTGATGACATCATTCTGCACTTCAGCTTCTCATTAGATTTTCTGTCCAATCAAATGCCATCTAGAATCGGAGTTGTCCTGCCCCATACACTATAAAAGACACTGAAGCTGCGACTGAAATTGGCTACTTGTTTGCATATTTCCAATGTTCTGTATGGTGAATGGCACAAAGTGCACTATCTAGTGGATAGAGAATGAATTGGATGAACAATAATTAAATGAAAGAAAGGTTTGACAAAGACTAAAGCACAACAAACAGTAGCACTGTGGGAACCTTTCTTCTTGTGTCTGTTTCTTCAACAGCCACAAGTCTAACTAAAGGATGGATTCGGACTTGAAAGTGCGCACAGCCATTGAAGTTCGATGCATTTTAATCCTGCAGCTTTCAGCTCAATGAAAGATCACTGCAGATACATAACTCTCAAGCGGTAGGAGACTCACCCTAAAGAACTCTTTGGTTGATCCTGAGTCCAAGGTTCCGTATGCGATCTCCGTTTGTTTGGCTAGATCTTCAGCACTCTCTATGGGAGAGACCATCCTCTCTACTGTGAGGAAAGCAGCCAGGTTAGCAGTGTAGGACGAGATTATGATGAGGGTGAAGAACCACCAGACGCCTCCCACTATTCTGCCCGATAAGGACCTGATGCACAAACACACACATACATACATTCAGGCTTGAATATGTTGATGGTTCACACAACTGTAATCAATAGATCAGCTCCACAAACATGCACTTATCATTTACTCACCCTCATGTTATTCCAAACCTATAGGATTTTTTCTCTCTCCGTTTAACACAAAATAAGATATGGTCACACTTAGTTTGGGGACTAACTCTCACTATTAATTAACTATTAACTATGACTTTTTCCTCAAACTCCTAATTTGCTGCTTATTAATAGTTAGTAAGGTAGTTGTTAAGTTTAGGTATGGGGTAGGATTGAGGGATATAAAATGTGATCATGCAGAATAAGGTATTAATATGTGCTGTATAAGCACTAATAAACAGCCAATATGCTAGTAATATGCATGTTACTAAACAACTAGTTAATAGTGAGAACTGGTCCCTAAACTAAAGTGCTGCCAAAGATATTTTGAAGAATGCTGGTAACCAATCAGTTGACGGTAGCCATAGACATCTATAGTATTTTTTTTCTCCATGCTATGGAAGTCAATGTCTACCGTCAACTGTTTGGTTACACATATTCTTCAAAATATCTTCTTTTGTGTTAAACATAAGAAACAACCTCATACATGTTTCGAGCAACATGAGGTGAGTAAATAATGACATAATTTTCATTTTTGGGTGAACTATCCCTTTAATGTCAATAATTGTACACCCCGGTTAAACCTAAAAAGAACAATAGATTAAGAAATGAGTTGCATATCAATTTAAATATTTAAATATTTATTAAATGTGGTTATCAGAGGAAGCGATTGCAATGTCAAAGTGATGTGGCAGTGTCTCATTCTTTGTACTAAGCCACAGTAGCTTTATTTTTGTTCACCATCTTCATTTAAATACATGACTTGAGTTTCTATTTAGCCACATAAGCAGTTTTCACAAATACAATATCGTCACCTTGGAATTATAAGGTTCTATCTGACATTTTTTACCTGGTCTCATGGCATAAACGTACCTGGGGGCACTTTTTAGCGAGACACGAAATATATACCAATAAGTACATCACTGCAGTTTCCAAAAGAAATTAACACTAGAGGCAGTAAAACTCCGACACCTTTTATTCCTTTTCACACAATTTTTCAGAGTTTCGATTAATACAGCATAATTTTCACACAATTACTTGAAGAATATTATGTTATGACTTCAAGACAATACTAATATGCTGGGAGATTTTGCGTTGCCCCCTCACTCAAGATGAGTGTAAAAATAGATTTTAATTATGAAATATAATAGTTTATTAAAAAAATATATAGTTGGCAAACGCATAGGCTTTCTAGCATTAATATGATGCTACTATAGCAACAATTTAGGACAGTCCGTTTCACAAAGTTGCATTTTAATCGTTACATCTGACACAAACTTCCCGCACAAGCGGTTCAATTAAGAATGCAGCACTACCGAGTAAGCTAAAGGTATGATGAAATAATTTGTTAATGTTTGATAGAGGGCTAGATGATAGTTGATTATTTTGCTGCATTGTTATTTTTTGTTGCTGTTCAAGTTGTTCTAACTTAAAATGATGCATCTGTTCAATGGGTCGCAAAGAATGTAGTATGTCAGGGAATCGGTCGCAAAGAGCTTGTGTTTCATTGTAAAGCAGCCAAAATTAAGTATTTCTGGTATCACTTGTCCTTCTTTGGGGTAAAACTGCTGCCTTATTTCCTGGATGTCAGATTTTCGAATTTGGTGGCTATGTGATTTTGCTTTATTCAATACTCTGCCATCTGTATTTGCAATATATAGTAGGGTCATTCACTCAGAACGCATTTTTTAATTCCACTGCTTTACTTTTCCATTGTAGCCTATTTCAATGTAAATGCACTACTCAATGTATTTGAATGCTGTGCTCTCGTCTCAGGTCTTTATAGCAGCTTCTCGCACATAATACATCATTCTAAAACACGGCGCTCAAGTTCAAATAAAAATACGTGAATGTGAACACTGCAATAATGTGTTTAATTACCCACCATATTACAATTAAAATTAACATCCGCACTGAACAAAATATTTAGCACCGCCTTTTATGCTTACAGTAACTTGAACAAGAAAAAAAAATCATCCTAAAATATGAAATAAATGTCATAGTAACATTAAATTGACCTTTCTCATACATGTCAATACATTGTTACAACACTAATTTTGTTTTAAAACAAAGTAAACCGTTTGTGTTTCTTTAAACTTATTGCTTCAATTAATGTTTTGCAAGATAGAACCTTATAATTACTAGCGGAAAATATTTTTTTTTAGAATTAGAAGGTTCTATCTGCATTTGACCTGTTCCAAAAATCCCCATTTACAAATTAGAGAGGATTTTGATATTGTCCATTTAGAATACATTTAGGGTCTCTGTCATTTTCATGTATGCAAAATAATTGTTCCCCATATAATTTTTGCTATATGGAGTGCAAAAATTTTGAAGCTCAATATCTCGAAACGGCTCAGAATGCAGATAGAACCTTATAATTCCAAGGTGGCGATATATTCACACACACACACATACATATATATATATATATCCTGAGTTAGTGTCTCATTTCTGATCCGGCAAAAGTTTGAGTCTCAAAGCTCATTTTCCAGCTGTGCAGTTATTGACTGTTGCCTAGACATTATATTAGCATAATCAAATAACATATGGGATCAATGATTGTATTATTTTCTCCAAAGGGTTCTTGCCTTGGGCTGAATGTAAGGTGGTTTGCCCTTTTGAAGACTATGTGCTCTGTCAACCATGCGGGTTTGTGAAATATATATACACAAAGTGCAAATAACAAGTAGAAACTCTTATGGACTTATGCAATGTAATTACTGAATTTTAGATTAACATGATTCTTATTAACATTGTAGAGCCATTTGAAAACTATTCTGCAGTGATACAGTCATGTAAAATATAATATCCAATCTATAGTGTTCCACATAACTATGGCATAACAGACCAGGCCAAATGCTAGTTATAAGTCGCAGGCATTGATAGAATAAATAACAAACAAATAAATAAATAACAGTTATTAATTAAATTAAAATATATCTGTCTGCGTTCTGCATGTGTATCTAGTGAAATGTTAAAGCATATTGGCATATTTTTGCAGTTTTAGAACTACGTATGATAGTTTAATATTAGCTGTAATTGCATTGATATGGAATTCAAATATAATATTTTAATGTATAACGATCAATCGTATTACAACAAATACGTCTTTTCTTTGCTATTTATTGAGAGCATTGATGAATGCTTTTAATTTTATTTATTTTTTCCATATGTGGGTTTGCATTGTTCAGTCATTTTCAATATGGCCTCAGACTAGATTGAAAATCTGGTCTTTTCTTACCCATTAATTACAACTGACTGTAAAAATCATAGAAGAATTATGGGAAAATTATTGATATGATATATTGATAAATGCTTTTATTTTATTTTATTTATTTTTTTTTTGTGCTGGTGAGTAATTTTTATTGAATACACAATTGACAGCCAGCACAGGGGAATATAAGGGACTCTACAAAATGATCTATGACAGCGAGCCGCGCAATGGAGTCATTATTAATCAACTTCCTGCTGTTAAATGGAAGAACAATGTGAATAATCATACATCTCCGTCACAGATGCCTACAAAGCGCTGCAGCAGGACTTCTCAAACAATAAATGAATCAGGTAAATGAGAAATTCATTAAAAGAGCCAAATGAGAATATGTTGCTCAGCTAATCCTTTACAAAATAACAAATTAAAACTAGAGCTGTGTCGGCATAATCTTTCAAATGTGAAATACTGAAATTACCTTCAAAATTTGAGCTGTAATGTATTTAATGTGCTTGTGAGCAGTGCTGGGTAGATTACTTACAAATTGTAGTCCGTTACTGATTTGAAGTTACATGACAAAAAAATTTAGTTAGTAACGTAATCCATTACATTACACGTCAGGTAATATACAGTAATTAGACTACTTTTAGATTACACTTTAAAAATGATGGGTTGTTTCAACCCAACATTGGGTCAAATATGGACTAACCCAACTGTTGGGTTAAATTGTCAAATTACATTTTTAACCCAAATGTTGGGTTGAAACAACCTAGCATTTTTTACTTTTGACCTAACTTGTTTATCACATAAATTTAAAAGGATATCAACGACACAGACAAGGCACAGTAGTATATTTCCTTTATTCTACTTCCCTTCCATTCCTCTCTCCACCACTTTCAATATGTGCTTCCATTATATTCCAGTTGTTTCTCAACGGAAACACTCTTACATAACACACAGGAGTCAGCGCTATCATGCCAACCTGCGTCCAATCCACACTTCTTTTGCACCCCTTTCTTTTTCTATGGGCCTGTGGAGTCTGCTCAGAGTCTCTTAGGATCGATTGAGACTTGGCTTAAACCTGAAAACCCTGCAACCCCTGCTGCGCTCTTTCCAACATCTTCTCTTTCACCCACACCCCCAGTCAGGTTGGGAGAGGTGAGGGTACTGGTCTCTTCATTTCCCAGAGCTGGAAATACCTTCCATGCTCTTTTAACTTTAACAATACTTCCTTTGAATTTCATGCCATTACAGTCACACTCCCTGTAAAAATCCACATTGTAGTTATTTATCGCCCTCCAGGTCAGCTGGGAAACATTCTAGAAGAACTGGATATGCTGCGGTCCTCATTCCTGGAGGATGGCAGCCCTCTAAAACTTTTTGGTGACTTCAACATCCACGTTGAGCAGCCACATGCTACTGACTTCCACTCTTTCCTATCCTCTTTTGACCTTCGGCGGCTCAACACCACAGGTTCCCATAAATCAGGTAACCAGCTCGACCTCATCTTTACACGTAGTTATACCACAGATAACATCTTGATCAAACCTTTGCATGGCTCGGATCATTTCATTATTACTTTATTCTATATCTACCTCCTTCCGCACCACCAACCCCTCCGCCAGTTTTGTTTAGAAGAAACGTAAGGTCTCTTTCTCGACTTTCCTCTGTGGTATCATCCTCTCTTCCCACCCTCACACACTTCTCATCATTAGATGTGAATTGTGCCACAGATACAATATTTCCCCAACTTAACTAGCTGCCTATACAATATCTGTCCCATTTCCTCCAGACCAGCACATGCTACTCCCTCCAACCCCTGGTTAACCGATGTCCTTCGCAAGCACTGGACTAAACTCAGGGCAGAGGAGAGAAAATGGTGCAAATCAAAAGATTCAGCTGATCTCAGCAGGTATCAGTCACTGCTATCTTCATTTTCCACCAATGTTCATTGCTGCCAAATCTAACTTCTATAACAAGATCAACAACGCATCAGACACACGCAAACTCTTCAAAACATTCAATACTCTCCTTTGCCGCCACCTGTTTAACTGCTGACGATTTTGCAGGATGACTATTTCAGTCATGTATAATGGGCATTTCTTATGTTTATTGCCATCTTATGATAAATCACTTGTTGTTACCAAAGTTTCCCAAACTGGCATTTTTGATGGAACTGCAGGGGGTTCGTGAGCTTAATGAAAAGATAATAATAAAATAGATCATATAAATTAAAAAATTAAAACAATCAAACAATCAAAATAATACACAAAAACATAAAAAATATGGAATATTATATCCTTTTACCTGCATATAATCTTTCTTTTTCTATGGGCCTGTGGAGTCTGCTCAGAGTCTCTTAGGATCGATTGAGACTTGGCTTAAACCTGAAAACCCTGCAACCCCTGCTGCGCTCTTTCCAACATCTTCTCTTTCACCCACACCCCCAGTCAGGTTGGGAGAGGTGAGGGTACTGGTCTCTTCATTTCCCAGAGCTGGAAATACCTTCCATGCTCTTTTAACTTTAACAATACTTCCTTTGAATTTCATGCCATTACAGTCACACTCCCTGTAAAAATCCACATTGTAGTTATTTATCGCCCTCCAGGTCAGCTGGGAAACATTCTAGAAGAACTGGATATGCTGCGGTCCTCATTCCTGGAGGATGGCAGCCCTCTAAAACTTTTTGGTGACTTCAACATCCACGTTGAGCAGCCACATGCTACTGACTTCCACTCTTTCCTATCCTCTTTTGACCTTCGGCGGCTCAACACCACAGGTTCCCATAAATCAGGTAACCAGCTCGACCTCATCTTTACACGTAGTTATACCACAGATAACATCTTGATCAAACCTTTGCATGGCTCGGATCATTTCATTATTACTTTATTCTATATCTACCTCCTTCCGCACCACCAACCCCTCCGCCAGTTTTGTTTAGAAGAAACGTAAGGTCTCTTTCTCGACTTTCCTCTGTGGTATCATCCTCTCTTCCCACCCTCACACACTTCTCATCATTAGATGTGAATTGTGCCACAGATACAATATTTCCCCAACTTAACTAGCTGCCTATACAATATCTGTCCCATTTCCTCCAGACCAGCACATGCTACTCCCTCCAACCCCTGGTTAACCGATGTCCTTCGCAAGCACTGGACTAAACTCAGGGCAGAGGAGAGAAAATGGTGCAAATCAAAAGATTCAGCTGATCTCAGCAGGTATCAGTCACTGCTATCTTCATTTTCCACCAATGTTCATTGCTGCCAAATCTAACTTCTATAACAAGATCAACAACGCATCAGACACACGCAAACTCTTCAAAACATTCAATACTCTCCTTTGCCGCCACCTGTTTAACTGCTGACGATTTTGCAGGATGACTATTTCAGTCATGTATAATGGGCATTTCTTATGTTTATTGCCATCTTATGATAAATCACTTGTTGTTACCAAAGTTTCCCAAACTGGCATTTTTGATGGAACTGCAGGGGGTTCGTGAGCTTAATGAAAAGATAATAATAAAATAGATCATATAAATTAAAAAATTAAAACAATCAAACAATCAAAATAATACACAAAAACATAAAAAATATGGAATATTATATCCTTTTACCTGCATATAATGTGACCATGTGAATAATATATAATCATGTAATCAATAAAAAGTAAATGTAGTCTGATTACAAGTATTTTACAATGTAATGTTATTAATTACAAGTACTTAATTTTTGGAACCCGATTACGTAATCCAGATGACTTGTAATCAGTTACTACCCAGCACTGCTAGAGTGACCAAACATTTTGACGAATGAATTCCCATTCATTTTTCATTATTTTTTAGTCTTTTTTTATTGATAAAGGAAATCGCTGATTTATAATCAGGCCATTTTGAAAATCTGAAATGGTTTTCGGTTACATCTGCTCTGAGGATCCCAGTGTATTTAAACCAGTGATAATCTGTCTGCTCATAGACAACTACACATGCAAACCCACATATGGACACCATTTTTATAGCCATAAATTGACACAGCGCTGACGCACCAACCTTGGTGAGATATCACAGCCCTGCTGCATGAAGGCCCCTAGAGAGAACCACAGGCTGTTAAAAATCCCAAAGTCATTAGGCGGGTCTGGAGGGGTCTGGGGGTCTTTGGCTTCATCAGTCTCATCCAGGTGCCACTCGTAGGGGCTGAAGCGGCTCACGAGGAACAGCACAACGCTGACGCCGATGTAGGCGAAAACGATACACATCCAGATCTCATATGCCAGAGGGTCCAGGAAGGAGAACACACCCGGCTTGGACTTCTGAGGTTTCTTAATCATAATGGAGATGCCCAAACTCATGAAGGGCTTAGAAAAGTCAATGACTTCCTCTCGCACAAGCGTGATCGTTAATGGTGCGACGGCTATATCTGCTCTCTGGAAATAGGGACATGAACAAAATGTGTTAGTGCTGGACATGCACCAGTACAATAAACATGCAATGCAATACAATTACTTTTCCAGATCTTAGCAAAGTATTTATTTCTCACGAGGAAGATTTGGCAGATTTAGTTGCAAATTTACTTCAAGTTGTATATCACAAGGGTACTTAGTGGAACGTTCTGGTTTCAGTACAACTTAAGCTTGGCCAACAACATTGATGGCATGCTGTTGATTACAAGCAAGAACCACAATCACAGTAATGTACAAGGTACATTTTTTTTTTAACATTGGATTTTTATTATTATTATTATTATTACTTCAGAATGGTATGGATCCTGATTATTTTTGTGGGGCTTGCTATATGAACATATCAAAAATCATGGACATAATTTGAAAAGGATAAATGGTCTTTAAAAATAGTCACCCCTGTGATCTTTGTGTAGTGAATGAATGAAAATTTTGAAAAATACAATACAGCAGTTTTTTGGGGTACAATGTACAAATCAATGAAGTAGTACTTCATAATGTCAAAAAAAATATACCCAAATGCAATAGCTAAGACAACATAATTCCTATTGGTGGAGTTTGCTCCGTGTATCTTTACACGTCTATCGTTTCTGTGCTTAAATGATTTTGGAAAAATTTTATATGTAATGGCACTAGTCTCGTACTAACTCACTGGCATACATTTTAAAGGTACAGTACACTTTCAAAAACTGTTTTTTTTTTTTTTACACAAATGATTTAAATTAAATTCTATGTTATTTTCTGTAGTCTGTCCATGAAGCATTTTTGAACCTGGAACTTTCTATTAACATTTGGATGAATCAATCAGATCAATTTGTCACAGTATATTACATCTAGAGCTCAGAGTGGGTCATTTAGTGTTTTCTCAGGCCTTGGTGTGCAGAAGGAAGCCAGGAAAATAACATTCACAGAGACAGGACATTCACTGCCTCAGAGAAGCACATGCGAGGCGTAACCGAAAAGGCGTTTTGACTGTATAGCACAGAAGTGACAGCTGAGCGTTCACTTGACTATATAGGAAGAGTCTTGCTAATTTCTGTGACCCCTATGCCACTGTATCAGGCAATAAACAGAGTGTAATCGGAACGAGCAGGAGACTTTGTTGGAAAATCTTTTTTTGAATGCTTCCCTTCTCAAGCTTCACATAGCGTTGCTGTGGGAGCTGCAGATATGAGGCACAGCCGCTTCCCACATCCCATAATCCTCAGAGGCACTCTAGCATGAGCGTATTATAAAACGACAGTAAAAGATTTGATCTCGCATGTGTCCTCAGCCAGGAGGACATTAGTTATGCAATCAGGAAGTATAAGGTCCCGGTAACTCTGCAGGTGAACACTGGTTATAAAAGCCTCTACAAATATTAATATCCTTTTATCTTGTGGTTGTAGTGAATGGAACTCTGGTGTACTGCCTCAATAAATCATATAATCATTTGCATATAAATAGCTAATTAAGAGTCTACCAGAAGTGATTTATCAGTGAGGAAGAAATATGCCTCAAAACTCTCAGCATCTACGGCACACTAGATAAATAATTGCATGTGATCTTTTTAACTCTGAAATTAGCTATGTATTGCATAAATGTGCACAGGTAAAATCCAACTGATATCAAAATCTGTTGATAAAACGTGAAAAAAAATAAGTGAGATTGAATAACACATTTAGAAGAATCCCAGAGGAATCCACTTCATGTTTTTATCTGTTTATGGCTAGTAATGGAAAACAAATCCATGAAAGCCGTAGCGTTTCTACGTTATAAAAGCAGAGGAATTCACTGTCATTGTTTAGACAGAGCTGTCGTTACTGCCTGAAAACTTCAACACATAACAGGAGTGGATCATATGGTTATAATATGATTACATGATTAGTATCAATCGGTGAAAATTTGAAAGTGTATCTTCCCAAGCTACAAACTACTCAGAATTTAAAGTCAAGCTGCAATTTAGCTCCACATGCATTTCTTCCCCATTTTGAGAATAATTTGAGTATAATTTCCAATGTTAGCACATCAAAACTAGGCAATCTCTTTGGCTGATGGTAAAGAAATTGAACAGATGAGGTAGCCTAACCCTCATGCATTTTGTATATGGTCTTCCTTCTTGAATGTCAGCTCGGGGAATTGGAAGGGATTTCACTGGATTTTCCTCCATTTATAGCAGGGGAGCGCTTTGACAAATGCAAAAATGGCGGGTTGCCTGGGCGTACTGTGAAAAGTGCCTTTGAGATCTAACAGCATAGAGATGAATCAAAGCAGTGCATGCTGGGAAGAAGCATGTTTAAAGCACCATCTCGCTACCAGCACTGTCTGGCTGCAGTTATAGTTGAACAACACCCAGACATTTCCAGACAATTTCCCCACGCTCTTTCCCATGAATGCAAGACAAAGGCAATTCACTTCTTCCAACCCATTATTTGACAGCAATTTCTAGCAATTTCTCTTTATATCATTTATGCAAGGTTCATGAATAAAAGAGACTACTGCAGAAGGAAAGGTTAGTGTTTCTAACAACAACGGAAGAGTTCCTAACAAATCCAATACTCACCCCATAGACTAGTTCACCCACCATCCCGTTCCAAGTCTTGGTTTCAGGGTCACGGGCGCCATATTTTCCATCCATGACTATGGACAGTTTGTACTTAATCCCAACATGTTTGGCAATCTCAGAAGCTAAATCGACACAGTAGCCTTCATACTTGTCATTGCCTTCCAGATGCATGTGATTTTTCTTGTACATCACATACGGTGCTTCCTGTTAATCAAACACACGCTCATTTATTATAGTCTTCACTTACTGCTTTCATTGTCTGGTGTCACAGGCACCAGAGCCCACCGACAGTTTATCAGTCACAGGCATGCAGGCATGCTGGAATATCATGACTGTGCATTCATACCCACCCATTCTCTCACACACATAATCCACCAAACTGGAACACATACAAGACGAATGACTGAAGCAGCAGACAGGGGATTGTAGGACATTGATCCACACGTGGCCACAGTCAGACCGAACTGGTAATTGCCCAGCCTCTTCTAAGGCCCTCTTTACACCTGGTATTAACATACATCTCAGGTAATCCATTCACAGGTTGCCAAGTAAGACAAATTGTTGTTTACACCTGAGGCACAGTCTGAGAGATAAAATAATATAAAATCGGGATCTTGTGCTCTTGGTCTTAGACCTCAAGAAATCACAATACTATTTGCATGTCTTACTCTGGGACTCGAATGATGGTCTCAAAAAGGATTTCAGGCACACTTATTATAGGTGATAATCACTTCAATCTCTAGTTTCCACAGTATCTTTTAAGCTACCGAGAATTTGCAAGAAACTAATGGCTTTGAGTGACTGCTTAGCTACTGTATAGAGTGGCACAGTGTTTTGAAATGAATGCTGCAATAAATTCACTTTTTTTTTTTTTATTGACAGACTAGTTCTTGGATGGCAGGTACTTGGTTTGGGTTTGGGCCACTGTCCACCAGAGCTCCATCCTTAATCAAAAATGCATCTGAAAAATCTAACCCAAGGGTGCTTTTCCTGGAGAGCTACCTACCTGCAGAGTTCAGTTCCAGCCCTGCGCCAGCACACCTGTCATAATTATCAAGTGTTCCTGAAGATCTTAATTAGCTGGTTCAGGTGTGTTTAATCAGGGTTCAAGCTGAGGTTTGCATTAAGGTATGGTGCATTCAAGTCATGTCGGATAGATCGTATTTACGAGTTGAACGCACATGAACGCCACGACAAAGTCGTTATTACGAGTGGGAAACTTTTCTTTAAGCCCGAGTTTCTGAGTTGGGGGTGTGCGTGTTAATGAGAAACATGGCGGAATCGATGGATGCAACATCTGTAGGTGACGGTTATTTTTTGTTTAAATTGATAGTTTTGTAATATAACAATTAATAACAAGTTTTTATCCGATACAGATTAAAGTGGCTTCATGAATTACTTTTTAAAAATATTAAAAACGCAAAACACCTGATGCGAATTCTTTGCTCTTCATTTTCTATAAGCAGAGTTAACAGACCCTGTTGTATTTTCTTGTAATTTATTAAAAGAAGGTACACTGCCATCTTGTGCCGACTAAACTGACTTGACGTCGTAATTACGACTTGTCAACTCGTAAGTACGAACGTCCCAGGAGGACTTGAACGCAGCAGTAGATCTCCAGGAACAGGAGTGGGAACCCTTGATCTAAACTACTGGATGTATTCAGGATTGCTTGAAAATTACAATCAGGTGGCTTTGATTAGGGATGGAACTAAACTCTGCAGGATAGTGATCCTCCAGGACTGGAGTTGCCCATGCCTGGTCTAGGATTATTGTTCTGAGTTTGGGTCTCGTTATAGATCTGGGCTGTGGTATTAGTCTGAATCTAGGTTTTGAAGGGTATAGTCTTGACTCCACCAGTATTAACATGCATCTCCAGTAACCACTTGAGTTTTATCACATACATCATTGCACATTATATACATCACATGGTATGTGTTGGGTGAGTGGACCTCTGATTATGGAAAGAATATGTCCACAAAAAAACTGGACTCTGTTTACTTGCATTTAGGACTGTCCACTTGGGATCAAAACACTGGAGATGGATGATATCAGGTATAAATAGGGTCTAAGACCATAAAGCAACATTGGAGACAAATCAAAATAGGTTCGATTCTGGTTTTCTCTCTTTCACACGCATGCACGCACACGGCCGTGTTGCATTATCCCAGGGTTCTGAAATGCATTGGCGGGTGAGAGGTGAGGTAGGCAAGAACGTATGAAGTGAGAAGGAATCCGATTCATAAAGTAAATGGCAGTGACTGCAGAGGAATCATAGTGTTGATTCTGTTCAGACATATTCAAGCACGTTGCACCTATATGCGACAGAATCCTTCATCATTCCAACAGAAAGAACACTGAACATAGCCCTACTAAATAGACCAGCTTACAACAGCATGAATTTCAGGCTGGTTTATGCCAGGTATTACTGGTTATGTGTCTATTGCGGTTTCGGTTTAGCTGGTGGACTAGCACAAGTCGACTAGCATGATTGTTCCGGTGATACTGACTGACTTGAGCCTTCTACACACTGCACAATTTTAGCAATCCTATAAGATCATTGCAAATCACACTGTGCGACATGGATCTGATAAACTTGGGTATGACATGAATCCAGACTGTACAATGATGAAGCCTGATTCGTAGGCTACGTTACTCTAGAACAGTGGTCACCAACCTTTTTAGGCCCAAGATCCCTGACCTCGGCCTTTATGAAAGACAAGATCTACCTATTGAAGAATTGATAGAAAAAGACATCCTAGATTGTACTTCAAATTTGAGGCCTTTTACTTAGCATTTTAATTAGTGATGCACCGATCATAGTTGATTCTGAATTCCGATTTTCTTTTCTTTCTTTCTTTTTTTTTACTAGCAAATTGGATTCTGATACTGATACTGATTTTTAAGCAAATTAATTTATTGGCTATTTGCTTTATAACAAACAAACTGGCTTTAAACGAAAATATCTAGCCATTTGAAATTAGAGGCAACCAATGCATTTTAATCACGATCTGCACGGCCAGTTGTTTTTGATTTGTCTTAGATTAATTTCAGGATTTAAAATGAACTATGAACAGGGTTGCCAGGTTCTCACAATAAAACTAGTCCAATCGCGTTTCGAGGGGTGTTAAATGTAATGCATTTTTGCGATCGACGGGTTGGCAACCACTGCTCTAGAAGAATAAAACATCATCAGCATGTGCTAGTGGTAAACAAAAAGAGCATGATGATTCACGCTTTGGCAGTTACAGTTTTTATATGTGCTGAAAAAAAATGTGGAAGCGGCGAAAGAGGAAGGGATAAGAGCTTGAGGTAAGCAGTTTTATGTTTTAGCGCCATGTCGCGTTGATATCATGTCACATTTCTATTGGCTGGTCAGTAAACGTGGGTCGTAGCAGCAAACACACTGTGCAATTAACATGCTGAATTTCTGGCACTGTCAGAAAATTATTGTAGGCTATCTTTGGGTGCAAGACCTTGACAACGGCTGTCTTTGAACCTCTCTCACTGTACGACATATAGGAGCCACGATCACAGAAATCGCCACGATTGTTTCACGATGAAAATCTTTCGTCTCGGACAGCTGAAAATTGTGCAGTGTGTCTCGGGCTTTACTGGTTTAGCTCAATAAACAGACTGGTGGGTACTCCAGCAGCACACCAGCATGCCATGCTGGGAACCAGCATCTAAAAACACAATATGTGGTCTTTTCAGTAGGGAAACAAAACCAAAGCAAAACCAAAGCCATCGTTAGGATCCAAACTCAAAAGCACTTTGTCGGCAAACAGAATTGAACAAAGAAGACAAGCTAGTTTTATCCTCCCTTTCACCCCCCATTTCAAACATTGTGGAAGCGGCTTGCTTTTTTAAGCACATCATTATTACCAAACAATATGACTTCTCGCAGAAAGAACGCATCCCATTAGAGTCAGAGACAATTAGGGTGCCAGTGGGTTAGCAATGGATTGTTTGTTCTGTGCTGAATGTATCCTCTCACCTCATCCTTTGTGCAATTGTTTTCCTCCTGAATCCCTCTGATGGAATAACCGACAGCTGCTGGTTTAATTGCTCACATTCAAGTCATTTGAAAGACTGACCTTGGTTTTTGGTGAAACAAAACAATTACCAGCGATTGTTGTTTTGCACGAGATGATGTTGTGAGCATTGATTTGAATTCCTCAGAGATGTGTATTCGCCTTGCCAATTGGAGGCTGACGTTAAAGCTAATTCCATTAACGGCAGAAGATGAAGTGATACGTCAGCACCGAGCAGTCCTCCGGTCAATGTAAAGTGGATCTGTGCAAGGCCTCACCTGGCCTCACTCAAATATGCTTTAACTTTGCCAGAGGCAAACCATCGAACCCTTCTTTGTTACGGTAAGAATGAGCTTGTTATAGCTCATGTGTCATTGACCATTTACTTGATGAGTGGAAACAAGTCTTACCTACATATGCATTGTATGTCTACTTGATGATGTCAATGTGAAACCATCATACCTAATGCCGTTATTGTGATGTCACTGCTACGACAGGCCACTGATATATGGAAAATCAAAATGCTTTGACACCCACACGGATACAGTTGAAACACTCATGCGTCGGTTTTCCTCACGTTCGACTGTTTCAACGTGTAATGAGTGGATGGAAAGCAACACAAAAGAAATGTACTTCTACCCGCCCAGGACAGAATGTATCAATCTAGGAGTCAACACCATGACCCTGATGGGCAGAATATGCGACACGTTTAAAACGTCATGGAGCGTGTACCATAATAGTAGTGACCACAATTGTTCGGTTTTCCACTGAGGAATCGTTGGTGTACTGCTGATCCATTATATTAACAAAGCGCTCAAACTCGTTCCAGTACCCGATCTGCAAAGGGAAAACATTCACGTTACTATCCAACAGCAGACATTTTTACTGCATTGACACTACCAACCCCCCCCCCCCCCTCACCCCAGCCCTTCTGTTCAGCTAAGGAGGCTGTTGTAGATGTGTACTCTCATAAGACTGTGTTCATTAAAAAAGTATTAGGTCTCCGTGCTGCTGCTGTTATTGCCTGGAGTTAAACAAAAAAGACAAATTCTTGGCTGACATTTGTTAAATGGGAAAAATGCTTATGGTGGAATTTTCAGGGATTCAGAAGCTGGAAGCTACTCTTGGATGTAATTCAAAAATTAAACTTGATTAGGTTTGAATGATTTATGCATTCTGTGTTTCTCTTTGCTATATGCTTGAGTTGTTTAGCGGTTGAGTGGCATGTGTCAGAACCGTTAGCATAGCACTAGCCGCTAGGGCATCACTGAGGTGACATTGTAGAGGGGTCCGACTCAGTCTTGTACATCACTTCTGACATTCATTGTCAATTAGTTTCTCCTTACCGACACTTACCCATCTAACCTTGGGCTAAACTACTTTCATCCATGGCGATTGTTGCTGGAATACTGTGTTATAAAGGGCAGTTTCTATTAGCTCAAAAGAAAGATAATGAATACTGGTTATGTTGAGCTTAAAGATGAACACAGTTTGATGAGCACAGTTTTATTTTCTGTTATGATGTATTTCTTATTGAAGCTTGAACTTAGGACATATTGAAGGGCTTGTCCAGCTACATCTATTTGCAATCAATTGAGGCAAGACTACGGTGGCTGAGAGAGCTAAATGTGCTGCAAATGAAAAACAACCAACACATTTAGAAAACATCTTCACCAGTTTGACAACACATGTGCTCCAAATACGCACAACACGACCAAACACAGAAATGCACTGCAAATACGTACAACACGACCAAATTCAGAAATGCGCTGCGAATATGCTCAATACGACCAAATACAGAAACATGCTGCAAATACACACAGACCACAACGGAACGTTTAAAACTTAATTTTTGATTAGTAATATGCATTGCTAAGAACTTCATTTGGACAACTTTAAAGGCGATTTTCCTCAATATTTTGATTTTTTTTGCACCCTCAGATTCCCGATTTTCAAATAGTTGTATCTCAGCCAAATATTGTCCTATCCTAACAAACCATACATCAATGGAAAGCTTATTTATTCAGATGTATAAATCTCAATTTTGAAAAATTGACCCTTATGGCTGGTTTTGTGGTCCAGGGTCACTAATTTTCACAACTTCCCCTATGAACATTAACCACAAATTAACCATGGCTTTGCTACACTAACCATAGTTTAACCACGGTATTTGTACAATTGTGGTTATACAAATGGTAATCAATATGTCAAAAAAAAAGAAAAAAGGTTTCAACACTTTTTGCATATTTTTTCTTCAGTTGTAGCACATTGAGCTCTCTCGGTCACCGCACAAGACACTATAGAGGCAAAAAAAAAAACTATTTTCATGCACTATTTTTTGTTCCTGCACTGAGCTTCAAAGATCCACTTCAGTAACACTTACACACACACACACCAAACTTTACAGTTTTATTCCTATCTATATTCTGAAGGTTTTTACAGATGGTTTGCTCATGTATCATTTGCTTGATTTATATAACATTTTATTGCTATGGTGAAAATCTATTTATTTTTCTGGCTGTTGACAGTATTTTCTGATTTATGGACTGATAAATAGAGGCATCCAAAATCCTCTCTTTAAAAACCTTTAACTCTTACACAGTACGTCAACAAAATGAAACTTGAACCATGTTCATTTTGAACAATGTTCAGATTTCTGTTCTGCAAATATGCATATTATTGCATGTTTAAGTAGAAAATACTTCATTTACATATTTAAACATAACATTTCAGATTAAATACAAAACTTAGTTTCTAAATGTACTTAAGTAACTGGGGAGGTATGGTGAAATCTGTTTTTACCCAATTCACCTGTGTTGTCTTGCCTTAATTGTTGCCATTGCTAGTTTGTTATGTGCAAGATCATCAGAGTCATTAGTATTTTTTTCTCTATTTTCTCTAGTGAGCTATAACTATTTTAAATGTGTATATCTGACAAAGGTTTTTTTTTCTTGCTCAGACTTAAAGGGGTCATATGATGCTGCTAAAAATAACATTATGTTGTGTATTTGGTGTAATGAAATGTGTTTATGCGGTTTAAGGTTCAAAAAACACATTATTTTCCACATACTGTACATAACTGTTTCTCCTCTATGCCCCGCCTTTCTGAAATGCGTCGATTTTTACAAAGCTCATCGGTCTGAAAAGCGAGGTGTGCTCTGATTGGCCAGCTATCCAGTGCGTTGTGATTGGCCGAATACCTCAAGCGTGTGACGGAAATGTTACACCCCTCACTATACTGTGATGATGCCCTGTCCGGCCGAAGCGACGAGACAAAAACATTAAAACCCATTATAAACGAGGCATTTGTTACATCCAGTGGGGACATAATTACGGATTATAATGACTTATACTGTCGTTTTACCGGTTGCGTTGCATCACACCGCGTAAACATAAAACCATTGCATTTGTGATCGGAGAAATGACAAACAACAAGCGCTACTCTACACTGCTCAAAACTCACGTTTGAATCATCAGTGGCAAATCCTTTAAAT